TATTGGGTAGCATGTGATATGGAAATTACAGAATACAGGGTAACAAATCAGCTCCTAGGAACTGTTGTGTGTATTCAACAGCTTTGTCCAAGAGGCAGGAAAGCAGACCAAAAAACCAGGAGCTATACAACAAGGTCTTAATTCCTGCATTGTAATTTAATGGCATTGAGTCTCAACAGCTGCACACTATTTCTTTTCAATAATTTCTCAAATTAATTCCATGATCACCTAAAGGGAGGCAAGCTGCATCAGAGGAAGTTCAGATGGGACATTAAGGAAAGCTTCTTCACTGAGGGGGTGTCTGGTCACTGGAACAGGCTCCTCAGGGATGTGGTCATGGCACCAAACCTGACAGAGCTCAAGAAGCATCTGGACAACCCTCTTAAGTCATATGATTCAATGATAGGGAGTCCTGCAAGGAGCAGAGAGCTGACCTTTAAGATGTGTGTGGATCCTTTCCACCTTGAGACATTCTATGATCCTAAATAATAAAACTGCAGTTATGTAGTCAAGCAGTAAACTGAACTTTAAAAAGAACTAGAGGACTGTATGTCTATAGTTCAAGTGCCTAAAGAGTTAAAAAAAAAACCCAACAACTTTCCCTCCCCAAAACCTAGAATTCTCCTTTAACAAGTATTTTAGAGTTCTTCTCTAAGTCAGGAAGTGAAATAAGCAACATCTGACATTAACCTAATATAACAGACCACATAAAACTGAATATGAACCTCCAGTCACCTGTCTCAACAAGCACAGCTTTTCAGGTCAAACGTCCTTCTGATGAGAAAAGTTTACATATTTTGCTGCCATGTTTAAAAGTGGCTTTTCAAAAAGTCAAAACAACCCTTATATTAATGCCTTTGATTTGAAGGCTCATTGGACAAACAGAATTAAACAATTCATGTTGTCCTGAAATTTATTTACAGGTAAAGAAAAATAGCAGCTTTACCTTCATAAACAAATCAGCATGGCTGAAGTCTCCAGCAGAGCACAGTTTACTAAATTAGCCTTTAAACCAAATTCACTTATTTTTAAACTACTCTATTAACTGTTGCAGTAGGACTACTACATGTAAATGAAAGATATTTTGGAAGAGCTTGACACTGAATTCCACTTGATTACAGTAAAAAAATCTTGTCACTGATCATTTGGAGATTACTATGATCTTCATTCAGGGTTTAACTTATTTTACATCTACTGTGGGGAAAAAGGATACCACATTATGTTTCCTCACCATAGGCAGATTATTTACATTGATAATACATACTATTAAACTTTAAAGAACACAGCATTGCATAAAAGCTTCCAACACCTCAATCTATTCCTGTGTTATTGCAGTGAGGCACATTAAACAAGCCCCAAGACAAAATACAGGAAATAAGTACAAGACAGCTCAGTTTAGCCTAAAACAGGTCAGCTGTTCCTCTTTTTTCCTTTAGACACCACCATTAATGCAAAATAAATGCATGCTGGTAGAATTATCAGTATCATGATCAGAATTTCTACTACATTATCTTGAGTGTCAAAATCACAACAAGTACTTAGCCTCCATGTACTAAGAGCCATTTACACAAATCCACTTTCACATGAATGAGAAATCAATTCAAGAGGCTCTGCTGAATTTACAGACAAACCTACAATATATTCAGAGCAACATTATCAAAGAAGATTGTTTTTAACTTGTGGCACAAATGGGAAGTACAAGTGGTTTCAGTTGTTAGGTGATTTTTCTTAACATATTTACATTCTATAACATCACTGTGGCAGATCATTCTTTTACACTGATATTCCCACACTACCCTGCTGTTGGTATCTGGTGGGCTTTGCACTGAAAGCTTTAAGTAGTATTTGTAATGTCACCAATTTCTGTGTTGGTTACAGAGGTTTCCTCAAACAAACAAACCAACCCTTCTGAAAGCAGCCATTAAAAGCTACACAGTTATAAAATCTATTTTCTTGTTTAATAGAGGAAACATTTAGCAATGAGCAAAATAAAACAGAACCTAGCTTTATATTTCTTGCAGCATGATTGACTTCATACAAACTTTCCCACCAGTCAAAATCAAACAGAATTCTGTAAACACATGGAATAGGGCCTTACTCAAATACAGTATCTCTTCTGTATGAGACCCTTCACTTCAAACCTTTTTTAGGCACATGGGTATGGAGACAACAAATTTTCCTGCTCTTTTTAGGTTTAACATGTATTAAGGGATTTGCACAAAAAGACTCACATTGTTACTGGAGAAGTTTTACAGATTCTTCACAAGAGGAAGCAAAACATTTAAAGATGTGTCAGCCAGACAAATGTTACTTTCATAAAGGCTATACAAGCCACAACAAAGAGTTCTCAAAATTAATAAGAAAATGGCAGGTATGCATTTGCTTTCACTTTGTAAATGTAATACTGAAGGTGTTTTCATATTTATTAAAATTAGAATAAATGCAAAACCTGTTAATCCACCCACAATACCAGTGCAATATCAGTACTAGAACACAGACTTCACAACATGCTAATCAGTTTGTTCAAAACATCTCCCCATCATCACTACAGGGGAACAATTCTAAATTGCATGGAAGGATTTTTAAATCTTCAAGCATGCAGACAAGTTCAAGCTGCACGTAAGAGATAACACTAAAATGAGAGTGAATAATTATCAGAGATTATATGTGAAAGCAGAAGACAATTATCAAGATCTTTTTCAGAACAACTGATACTATGGAAAAATAATTCCATACAAGTTAAGTTAGCATAATGAAAAAGAACAGCTAATACAAGAAAAATAGGGCAATCACTGAAATGCTACTCATCCTTCAGTGCCTGTGCTAATGGACAGTTGAAACATCATAAGCAAAAGAAACACCACCTGGATAAGATGGGCATGCACATTCTGCAACCATTTGGGTTAGTCTGTACCACATCAAGGACCAGCTGAGTTAGAATCTTTATCTTGGCACCAGTCATGCAAGACTCAGACACAGACATGCTCTGCCCCAAGGGATGCAGCACCCACGTGTCACACTGTCTTTTCAGCACAGTCCCAGAGCTGGGAGCCTATGCTGAGAACCTGGGTCAGGTCTAAAACACAGTAGAGCTCAGCAAGCTCTTAGCTCCTGTCTTCCCAAAGCAAAGTTACTGCTGGAAACAGTGAAACCAAGTTTATGCAGCACTACCCCAAACTAAAAAAGACTTACTGATCCTAAAAGAAATACTGAATTAAGACAAATACTTTACCACAGCTGCACACAAAGAACTACTTCATAGAACTACCCATTTTCACTCAGCATGACCATCCTGTTAAACTTCTCTGTCCGAGAGAGATCGGAAGATGATGGGCTGGAAAAGGAAGCCAAAGTAGGGAAAAAGAAGACTTCAATTCTAGACTAATGAACTTTTTTGTCTTCTGTACAGGGCAAGCTATGCACCCAAATTTAGTGAAAGACACAAATTACTTATTCACATCATACACAATCGGAATAAGCCAAATTTATCAGATAATGATAACGTGGTTCAAAACTTATATTGGCAGTACAGTGCTTTGGTACCTCAAACAGTGGCACACTACATGCCAGAGGTTTTTTCTCCTGTAAGCTGAAGGTCATACACTTTCAAACCCAGTATTTAGGAATGAGTCTCATATGTATTTTAGCTTCAGGAACTGCAATTTTACAGGCAACAGAACTCTTGAAATTATCACTCAGAAATAGCTGTACTATGAAAGTCATCTTTATATTAAAAAAAAAGACTAAAAAAGTCAAACTTTGTTTTTACTATGTCATTCTGACAGATGCACATTGCTGACTACTATAAGCTTTCAAAACTTTCCTATCATTAATCTAGGTTTGGCAGAAAAACCAAACCAAGCGTTTTAATATTCTCTGCAACTACTACACAAAAGAACTTCATAAAGTTATCCTTGACTGCTTATAAAATTTAGGCAAATTAACTGGCAAATGAAGTTTAATAAAGCATCTGTAAATACTTAAGTCATGAAAGTTTAATGTTTTCTTATTGGCTAGGATGTGCTTCTTTCCATGTTTGTCCTTCAACCCAGCCACACCACCCCATTTGGGCAAAGAACATTCTCTTGACACAAGTTTAATGAGCCCTGCAGCTCAAGTGGCAGCAGTAAACAGAAAGGTGAGATCCAAGCTTTATGGAAGAAGTATAGTAAGGTATAATTGCAGAGGAAAACTGCTACTTCATCTACAACATTAAGCATTTGAGAAGTGAGCTGTAACTCTGGTACCCACCAGCAATGTGCATATGATTTACCTATGTCAAGGACATATCCAAATGTCCTAAATTCTCAGGTTTCCTTGTGATTGCTGTGTAATACTGTAGCTTAACATCTTCTTAACTTAAGGGCTGGCACACTGTTATCAAGTGCTCATAGCTCTTCACTGATGATTCTATTACTGTTCTGTACCTACAAGCAGCCTGCATATGACTTGGTGCGTCTGGGAATCACAAGAGATATCCTTAGTTTTATTATCATACATTCTCATTGAACATTAGGCCTCAAGAAACACCCACTGAATAATTACAAGCATATTAATGGCATCTTCCAAAGCATCTGGACTTCTGTTAAGGCTTCCTCTTTTCTCTCTCCAGACTCTGAAGCACTATATTTGAAGTTTCACTGTTTGCACTATCACACTTCAAATAGTATTTATATAGAACACAGTACAGACACATTGTATTTGTCTCAGCTAAAAAGGCAAACAGACTATATCTAACATGTCATTACAAGAAAATAAAAACAGTCTTTTTTTTCTTCTATTGAGAGAGCAGGAATTTAATCAATTTGTATTCCAATTTAAATACCCACATGCTATCCACTGCTACTGAGTCTTTTGTCTGGTAAGTTACAGACAGTTAGAAAGAAAAAATATTGCATGAACTACTTGTTTCAACAGATCAAAATACTTTGTACTCCTTGGCCTAAAATATTATGGAAAACAAAGAAATATTCTACAAACAAAGAAACCCAAGTGTTTACCAGTTAGTAGTATCTTCTTGCAGTCTTAACAGAGAACTCCCTTCTTCAGATTATTGATGCAGCAGCTCGTCCTCACAATCTGAAAGAACAGAACCCCATTAAACATAAACAATACATGGTATTTCAATCACATAAACCAGTGCCAGGGGTAAATCAAAGTTAATCCTGCAGTGCCAAGGAACCTACATAATCCTTTAGGAATGCAAATGAGACATGCTGATTTCAAAAACACTCCGTGATTTTATGGAAGTGACATTACAATCAAACAGAGAAGCATCCTTCCAAACTCTTCTGTGAATCAGTAAGGCTATTAGCTAGCCATGATCACAAGCATCAGAAATAGAGCATTGCATCTCAGCATTACCGAGTTAAGTTACATATAGTTACAGCACAAAAAATAGAGCATTACATCTCTGCATTACGGAGCCGAGTTACACATAATTGCAGCAGAAAAAAGTAGGTCTCAGTTCAAGCTTTATTTACAGTGCCACATATACTGCACACAGGGAAAAGTACTTCATTGCTACAGTTTTCATCAGTTAAAGAAAATGCCACCAGTCAGAGTTTTTACCTACCTGAACTACTCTAGGATTACTAGGATTTTCTGCTTCAAAGCTAAGTTTCTGGTTTAGAAAAATCAGTATCTGTATGCTCAGACAAAACAGTATTTCCTATGGAAATGAGATTCCATTGCAGCACTGAGATTCCATTGCAAGCACTTGGAGGGTATTTCTCCTCACTTAGAGTATATTTATATAGCAAGCAGCCTACCTTTTTTAGTACAGTAACTGGATGATGAACTCCCCAGAACTGGTACCTTTCTGTTGTGGTGAAAGGTTCATAAGTCTTTTCCCTTTGGGGTTTTGTAGGTTGCTTCTCTTTCAAGGATTTCAGCTAATTTAAATACTTGAGTGTTGTCACTTTAACTGTCTCCAGTAAAACCACTGCTGCTCCTGCTTCAGGTATTCTTGGCACCAGAATCCTTCTTTTTAGTATCTCACATCTCAAAGTTTCTTTTAAAGAGTGATCTTCCCATTTTGTCCTCCAATTCTCTTTCTGTTTCTTAAAGCAAAGTCAAGCATATTCTGTAACACGTCTGTTTTTAGCACAAATTTGGTTTAGAAATATAAAATCCCTGTCATGTTATTTCAAATCCAGCTGAAGAGGCGTGAAATATTCAGTGTTAATTTGTATTTAATCAGCTATAAGCAGTTCCTCTTACATCAGGTAACCCTGATTAATGGGCATTTAACAAAAATACATTGCTTTGCAGTTAAATTTCTAATCACAAACACTATAACATTACTGAATTGTCCCGGCTTGGGAAGGGTGGAGGGAAGAGGAAGCATTATAAAGTATTGAGGCTGGGGAATGATTTTAGTCACAGTGAAAACTATCATCAAAAGATGCCACCCATTGCCTCCTGCCCTCTCTGCAAATGAAAATCTTGCAACCTGAGGAGCACAGCTAGGAGAAAAAGAGGCAAGGACTCTAAGATACTAGACCAAATATAATGGTCAAATAAAACCAATGCATCGTATTCACAGGGATTCCTATTCAAGGAATCCTATTGCTACATTGAAGCAATAATTGCAACAGACAGTTGAAAAGCAAAACAAAAGAAAAATAATTTTAACTAATGATAACTTTTGCCAATTTGTGTCAAGGCAGTATCTAAGACAAGCAACTGCCTGTCAAGTTAATGTGTTAGTGTTTTGGTTTTTTTTTTTCCTACAAATGTTATAAGAAGCACTATTTCTCTTTCTTGCAGAAGAGGAAATCTAAAAAACACCCAAAACACATTCACTCCATTTATGCGTAGGCTTTGTTTAAACAATTGTTCCACCACCCTGTTCAGTCCCTTTCATTCATGGACTTCTTGCCAGACAACTGTATAGGTTAACAATTATCTTATAAACTGAATGGAAGCCATAAGATCCTTTCATTCATGCTGCTTGGCAAGAGCTGAGAAGAGCAGTTCTATCACTGCTACAGTCCATAAGAGGATTGAAAGTCTTGCTGCTTGAGTGACCATTTAAGAAACTCAACAAGTTCCTTCAATACACTCAATCAAAAACACTTCCTTCTACCCTGCTACGCTGCAGTATGAAAAGCTTCTTTCTCAGTACCAAAAATGGATTTTTTTTCAAGCATGATTGATCATTTCATTAAACAGAAATATTGTTATATTTCTGCTGTTCCACTGTCAGGACACATAGCATCATGTTGACAAATTCAAATTATTAAATCTCCTTGCAACCACTGAAATCACAAGCAGGATTTTGGTTTACTGAAAGGAATATCTAAGCTCACTGAAGACTCTTCTGCCCTCTCCAGTCCTGTGCTGCTGCAATTCCTGGCTGCTCAGCATTTCCTGTACTGTAGTTTCTTCTCCCTCACAACCCATTCCTGCAGACTGGCTTCAGGTGAAAAAGGGAAGCCAGTGCCAGCAGCAATAGCTGTGGGGCAATTCTGGATGGGAGAATCTCACCTGGGAGTGGATTGAAGAGATGATGGAAGAATCCAGAAAAGCACTGGAAGCACATCATCTGCCAGCATGGGGCAAAGAATTAAGCCTGGTGTAATAGGAGGAACTGGAGAGGAAGGAGGCTGCTGCACAGGAGCACTGGGCAGCACTGCACACAGAAAAGACAGGGTGCAGAAGTGGGAGCATATGCAGAAAAAGCTGCAGATAATGTGGCCCCTTTGGAAGATCTCTGCAGCCCTCAAGGCAACAATTCCTTATATATAATCTAGATAAATCCCATTCAGTTAATAAAACCTGTCAAGAGATTTTTTTTTTTTCTTTTTAAATAACAGATCCCCAAACTGTAATCCATGGTCTAAATAGCAGAGCTGAGAAAAATCAAGCTAGCTGCCATCTTAGTTTACAGACAAGATTTGGTCACAAACTTTTTTTTTTTAATTCAATAGAGCTTTGTGGAGTAAATTAACACTGTTTCTTTGGCAGGCTAATGAGAATAGCAGGTGAACAACAAAAGAGTAAACTCATTCCCAGGAGATATCCTTGCCTGCCCTCCACACACTGTGTTGGCATAGCTTTGTAGGATGACGAATTCAAAAGAAGGAAGAAGACAATAAACCTACTTGTTCCTGCTAAATTAGGGACACTTCACCTCTTGATGTAAGCGACCATCCCTTTACTTCACTAGTTTTGCCACTTAAGGGGAAGGCAGAATTAGCACAGCACCTGATTAAATCTTGTTCTCCATACAAAATTCATGCTCAAGAAAACTATTAACCATGAAGATGCAAAAAGCCTTCTGTGAATCGCAGTGTTTGCTTTTCCCTAGAGTACATGTTTCAACAGGCAGAAGCACAGCAAGTGCTTCTCAAGCCTCCAAGTTTCACACTCATTTGAGCTGAGAAATTTCTTAATGGCTATGTCCTCAGGAGCAAAGGGTAAAGCCACTAACACAGGACTTAGTTAGCTTTACTGAGGGATTCAGGGTACTCCATTCAAGACAGTTTGCTGAAATACTGCGGCAAAACACGCAGTTATTGTCAGATACAGCAGTGTCTAAACAGAGCTTCAAGTTAAATAATTTTGCAGTCTTTGCCACCATTAAAGCAAGACAGCTCAGAAAAGGCCTGTGTCAGAACTGGCTGCATGTCTCCACAAGCAGGTAACAGGAATGACTCAGGGCTGAGATGCAGAGGGAAACAGATGTAGAGGTCAGTCTGTCCTTGAATTCCACCCAAACCTTCAACTGCCCACACTCCAGTTCTCTGCCTTGCTCCAGTCACACACTGGCATCCCAAGGGCACTATTGAAGAGACCATCCTGGGCAGGCCTGAGATGCCATTTCATTTTCTCTTTCTTTGGTAACCTACACAGCATCTTCAAAAGCCCAGAAAAATGTAGATTTCACAACTTAACATACAGGCTATTTCAACTCAAAAGCTTTGTCTGAATTCCATTTAGGAGTAACTCCACCTAGCCTGTATACCTAACACTGTTGTACAGATATGAATCACATTTAAAAATCACACTGCACACATCATCTTTGCCTATGCTTGATTTTGCTTAGTCCAAAACATAGAAAGCACAGGAGAGACAGTAATATGGATTTAAGGCAATGTATCCTCCCTAACACAGATCACAACAGACTGCTAAACACAGCAGCCCATCCTAAGAAATATCTGAAATGCAGAGTATACAAAATGAGCTGAAGAAAAAATAAGCCATAAAGATCCATAAAGATAACTAAGTGTTAGAAAGTTTATGGTAGCTTACAAACAATTCTGGTGTCAGACTAAGACAGCACACACATTGCACAGTCAAAATAACCCCTGCAGAGCTTCTGGCAGGCTACTCTTTCATAGTAAATAGCTATGCAAAGAGGCAGAAAGCAACACAACCAGTGTCCTACAAAAACAGGAAAACAAAAATACTAGAATTCACTAATAGGTCCACAGCAAGAAAACTTGAGAATTTTATACCCCACTAAAATGATACAGACTACTTTCCCCCCTTATGAACACATCTTGCCAAAACTTCAATTTTCGGTTGAAAGAGGAAATTCTCCCATGATTTGAAGAATTGGTACTCTGAGAACTATTCAAAAAAACCCAGTTATTTACTTCTGCACAGGTGAGAAAGTAAGCTGTCATTCCTTTATTTCCAGGACAGAATTGAAACAAAGTGTTTAAGATCAAATAATTACACTAAAACTCAATAGTTTGAGCTTCAACTGTACATCATGTAGTTAATAAAACTGATGCAAAGACACAAGCCAAAGTCAAAACTACTTGCCTCCAGAAGCCTGTAGCCCTGCTTCCACATAATACTGGAGCACTCTAGCAACACCCTGACTATTTTCAACACCAAAAGAATTCCTTTTCTTTCATTCATCAGAACAGCATGAGTTACAGGACTTAAGCATATTAGTCTTTACAGGTTTGAGCTGCAAAACCACCAACTATGGTTAAAAATATATCTCTAGTATTTATTCATGTACTAGAAGCTAATTTTGTCAGTAAATTAGGATCATCCAGTTAACTAAGAGTTGCAAAGACAGGAATGGAAGACATACATAACCTTCCCTTGTCCCACAG